TGGGTTTACATGGCAAGTTTTATCCACATGACTTCCAAAGAACATTTCAGTTTAAATGAATACCCCATGCTGCCTATGCTAAGTAACTGCTCATCCTGGGAGGTGAGAGGAAAGGCACAGCACTGAACAGGTATGTAAGGGTGGAAAGCAAAGATTCCCATAGACACTTGGAAGATGAAGAACTTTGGGCAAGACCTGGATAAATGTAGATGTGCTGAAATCTAGCACAGGACATCTCAAACAGTGTCTGTGAGAACACTGAGGGGAACTGTAAAGGTGGGCCTCAGTATTAAATCATCTCCCCTGCTCTTGACGTGTTTACCAGGATCCCTGGCTCAGCAGTGTCCCTTGGGGAAGGCACTGATTTTTGAGGCAGCTGCCCTGCTTTCTGAGTGACTTCAGCATTCCTCTAAGGTCATCCATCCAAATATTGACCAGCCTGACCTTCAGGAGGTAATTGCAGAAAAGCACACCATGAGATGGCTCCAGACTCCATCCAAGACAGATGACAAGCAACGTCAGGCTGGGCAAAAATCCATCTGCAAAGTGTGGACAATACCAGGGACAGAGGAAACATTTACGAGAACATAATCATTTTCAGATGCCAAATCTGACTTGCTTGGCTCAGTGACTTCATTAAATGATACTCAAAGGCTCAGTTTAGTAGCACTGATGGGAGATCAGTACAAAGAACTGATGTAGTACCCAGACCGATATAGGCTGAGCTGGCATTAAACACCTCCTTTCCTGACCCCTACAAAACAGAGACTAGACAAAGTGTTTCCATGCTGTGAACCAAACTGTTGTAAAAGATGAAGTCATGCGAAGCTGCACTGGCACTGGGGCTACGCTGTCCCTAGCTGGTCTCAGGGTTTGGGGTGGGAAGGGAGAGAAACGCTTGCGTTCTCGCCCTCCACCCTTCGGTGCTGCTGTAGCCAGCCAAGGGCTCGTAGCTGGAGTTTCTTAGCCGCTTGTGTAAAGGAAATGTATCACTGCAAAATGAAAGGCTCTGAGAGGAAGTTAATTTAATACAGCTTATTCAGGCACTGTCCTTATTAATTATCTTGAACACAATAATTACTTCTCATTGTATCCATACTGTTCAATCTAATGTGAAAGGTCTCTGTTCAGCCCACACTTCTTTAGCAATTTACTTTGATTACAGTTATGATAAAAATAATGGGGGAAAAAATCCAACTGCTAACAACTCACACGTTACAAATTTAAAAAACAGATGTAATAAGTTGGAGGAGTAATAATGTGCAAAAGGTTTTTTTTCCCTTATATTCTTTCATGAATATTCTTCTAGTTTTAACAGCAGGTGAGAATGGAAATACGATTTTGAGGACTGCATATATTTTATCCCTGTATTTTAATTACTTGATAATGTAATATTAATATTGATTGACTTATTGATAATGTAATATTAATAACCTGTTTCTATTTTCTTTGCAGTTTACAGACATTTCATTAAATAAGAAACCCAGATGCCTGTATGTATATCTTTTTATTTTTCTCTTACTTAAAGATGCTAACTTGACATGCTTACATTTCTGCTTTTGCATTTCACCTTACCCAAAAGCCTGAATTGGGTTGGGTTTGGATCAGGTGCTGTACCTGAGTATGGTCTGTATTTATGTCATGTAATAGAGGAAAAACAGGTTTCTGCTAAATCAAAGCTAAAATCAGGTATTCTGTAAAGAAAAAAGCAGAATAATTTTCTGTTA